CTCCAGTACAGTAAAACAGAAACAAAAAAAAATTCAATTGTGGCAAAACTACAACAACACTACAGAACCTCAAACCTACATTTTGTGCAGCAGGTTTAATTTTTCCTATGTTCTATTCCCTGTGAAATGATTTTACCATATAGTACTTTGAAATGTTCATATTTGGGATATTTTAGCTATCTACCCCAATTATTCTATAGCAGGAAATTAATGTCACTTTTTTAAAAAAGAAAAAAAATCTTTTTTTTATTTTTAGTTGTATATGGACACAATACCTTTTTTAAAATTTTTTATTTTTGTGTTGCTAAGGATGGAACCCAGTGCCCCACACATGCGAAGCAAGTGCTCTACCACTGAGCCACAACCCCAGCCCCTAGTTTCATTTTAATAGTTATTAAAACCCCCTAAATATTACACAGAAAGAACTCAAGCTCAGCATCTGTGATACTTTCCTAGGGGCTGTGCAGTAATGACAGGAGCCAGGATTCAAGCCAAGGTCTATCTATGGATTTTTCCATAATACTAAGGTACATCTTTAATCAGTGAACACAAATACCCACAATATGAGACAAGGAATGTCACTGGGATGAAGTCACTGTATCCTTCAAGGGACTATGAAAAACGACCTTGCTCTCTGCAAGGCTGTCCAGGGAAGGCTGGAGTTTGAAGGATGGATAACAGTTGGAGAGAAGGAAAGAAATGGCATGCACAAAAATGTGGGAATAAATAAAAGTATGACCTGGAGGTACTATACTCTGGTTTTCTGATCCTATCAGTATGTACAGTACAAAGTAAGGTGCTGAGTTCAATACAAAGTCTGAATAGAGAAGAAAAGGAATATAAGATCTAGAATACAAATGTGAGCCCAGATAAAGACTTAATTCTAGAGGCTGGGGCTGTAGCTCAGTAGCAGAGTACTTGCCTAGCATGCATGAGGCCCTGGATTTGACCTTCAGCACCACATAAAAATAAACAATTAAAAAAAGGGAATTCTGTCCATCTACAGCTATAATTTTTTTAAAAAAAAGACTTAATTCTAGCAAACAAATCTGTACTTAATATGGCAGTTAGCAGGGAGTCTGAGAAAAATTTTCACAGGATTCTGCTTTAGGTAGTTTCCTTAGGTGCTTCATCTTAGCTATAGTTTCCTAGAATCAAGACTGAGAAAGTGATTTATTGAGGGGTTCTCTCAAGTGAACCCTTTAAGAAAGTAAATGAAGCAGGAGAAGACAGAGAAGCTAGGCAAAGATATGCCTTTGGTTTAAGGCTCCTCTCAAGATGATCCCATACAGAGCTCTGGAATGTGGACAAGCAGCTCAGAGCCCAGTCAGTCATGGGCCAAAGACCAAGTCAGGGATCTCTGGTTATGATAAATCCCACTGGGTTGAGATAACCCTTGGGAGAAGAGTAAGATCATAAGCACCTAACGTGGTAGGGGAAGGATAGATCACACTGCCTTAGTAACAGGGAACTGGGATGGCACTAACAGTGTCTACTATATGGCATTTTGAAGGGTAAATTCAAAGTATAGGAGCCTGAATATTATATAGATGATTATATATTAATAAAAATTAAATAGTCATATATTAATAATTGTATCAATTATACATTAATAAATTATATATATATAATAAAATTACACATACTCATATATATACAAGTACTACCATGTGAAATTAGATAGTGGCTGTATAGGCAGAATAATGACCTCTTGAAAATGTCTACATCCTAACCCCTAAAACCTGTGGGCCACATAGCTAGAAAATGGCAAGACATTGAATAATGGTAATGGTAATAAATATGTTACATAACATAGCCAAAAGAACTCTGTAGGATTAAAGCTGAAGACCTTGAGATGGGAAGATTATCTGGATTAGCCAGATGGCCCCAACTTAATATGATTCTGGAAAAGCAAAGAGCCTTTCTATATGAAATGAGAAATAAGACATTGCTGGCTCTCAGATATAGCAAGGAGACCAGGCATTAAAGAACAGAACAACTTCCAGAAGCTGGAAAAAGGCAGAGAAAGAGAATTACCCTAGAACCTTCAGGAAGGACTGCAGCCCCCGAGAAACACCTCAGAGGGACTCATGCTGAACTTCTAAACCACAGAACTGTAAGGTAATAAATTGGTGTAGTTTTAATTTATTATAAAACCAAGGAAAACCAAATCCTGGCTAAAGAAGAAAGCGAAAAGACTAAAGAATAAGTAATGATAGCGTTCTCACAATTTTAAAAAGGCCCTAACAGTAATATTACTCCTTTTTTTTTATTTAAGTAGAACTAAAAATTCTTATTACTTTAATCAGAATTTGTCAACTAACTTGAAAGGTCACAGAAAAAAAAATGATTTCAACAAAATGACAGGTGAATTGGAATGTGAGAATAAAAGAGCAATGTTTTATAAAGGTTAAGAAGAATACATCTTTAATGAAACCTCAAAAACATGAAGGGAAGATTAAAAGGAAGGGTCTGTAATTACTTTCCTTATTACATTGAAGACACAGGGGCCAGGCCAACACAAACCGCAAAACACTCTGATTGACTGTTTCTTGGCAGCTGCCTGAGCTTCACTTCTGCCAATTAGGGAAAGTTCCGGACTGTGAGCTTCATGGTCACCAGGGGGTGCTATAGGACAGTTTCTCCCACTCAGCCAAGGGCGCTCTCCAGGCAAGCAAAGATTGGTGGCCATAGCCCTAGCACCCTTGAAAATCAAATGCAAGAGTAGGATCAAGTTTTACTCATTTATTTTTTTTTGCACTGACCTAGATATTTTTCAGTAACAATGTTATTTATGATAACTGTCGGCATCCTCAATAAAAATGAAAATAAATGTGCAAAGAAATTTTAGGAATTTCCATAAAGTTTTCAAAATTAGAAATATTATGTAAGAAAATGAAAACTGACAGTGTCTTTCAATTTCATTAAATGGACACTTTCCTGACCTAAGGCTGAGAAGAAAGAGAGCGTGAGGGGAAGGATATGTCCTGAGGATGGTACTTAACCAAGTGTCAGGGTATTCACATCTTACCCAGTGAGAGTTACATCCATGTCAGCACAAGGAATAATAAATGTTTTTATTTTTTTTTTCTCACCGAAAATGGTACAGACACCAATGCCACCACAAGACAGAGAACAGGGCAAAGGGGAGACGAGAACCAAGAAGAGGAACAAGGTACCATACAAGGTACAGTCAGCCAGGGTTTTGCAGACTATATTGGAAAAAGCAAATGAATTTAGAAGTGATGATGATTATATGTAGTACTTAAAATGAACATAGTTCACAAATGCGAGGCATAGAAATCTTAAGTTTTTGAAAATTGTAAGGGAGGTCGTGGCATAAGGACACTAACGGGTAAAACAATGAGGGACACACAGAGCAGGGCAGGAATTGCTGAAGAAATCCAGATCACACCTGCCCCTCATCACCCAGGCTATTCTATATAGTCAAGATCTAGTTTTGTATGGCACTAGTACAGATAGAAACCAAACTAGTCTTAAAACGTTATGATGATTTATTACATTATCTGAATATATTAATGTATATGCCTATGTTTTATTCATTTTTTAGTGAGTCAGAAATGCATTTCTATGGTGCAAAATTCAACGGGTATATTCCTATTTCAGGTAGAATACAAACTTTATTGTTTCTGTTAATACAATTTTTATATTGTAGGTTATTTTAAAGTGTCATGATTCAAATGATTCCAATTTTGTACAATAGTTTCTATCATGTTCTTTCAATCTACCTATCTAGGCACCAAGCCAGATTTCAATATAGTTTTTGTTTAGAGAGATATCTAAACAGATAGTCATCAAATATTGATGATGACTATATTTATAAGTGCTTTTCCCTTTTCTAACTATATTTCTGATGCCTGATTTTTTTTCATCCAAAAAATTATAACAGACTGAATACAGAAACAAAATAAGGAAATTCAACAGTTTTCTCCACAGCCAGATCTTAAAGAGGTTTCCAAAAATCATGAACAAGGTAACTTTCTCACTAATTATTTTGCTTTGGAAAATAAAGCATTTCTGTACATGTATGTTACTCGTGTTAATGTAATGGTTTTAGTCATTACTTCTTTTAAAATGATATAAGCATGTGACATTTTTACCAGTTTTAATTTCTAACATGGAAAATATTGATGGATATAATAATCAGCGTAATTCAAAGCTGTTTGGGATCCTTCCACAATTTACATAAGGGGTCCTGACACTAAAAAAAAAAATTAAAAAATTAAAAAATTGGAAACTTCTATCCCAGTGAATCAAATCTCCCTCACAAAGTATCAGCTCATAAAAACATACTTAATAGAGAATTCAAACAAATGATTTTATAGAGGACTCTTATGTTATGCACCACTTGACAAATTTGATCTTTCCCTAGGTTTTTCAAATTTTAGTAAGCATCACCTCAGTTTACCTCCTTCATGATTTCCTGAATCTAGGAATCATCTTTGACTAATTTTTCTGCAACTCCCACAGTCAATCCATTGGTGGTGCTACTGACACTGGTGTGAAAACCACATTCTTAATCAAACCTCTCCCAGCAACTTCACAACTACCACTGTTCAAATCATCATATTGTCTCGGCATATTAGAAAACTGAAAACAGGCGACCGAACTTAATGACTAAGTAAGTGTCTATGTCGTCGTCGTCGTCGTCGTCATCATCATCATCATCATCATCATCATCATCATCATCATCATCTATACAGAGCCAAAATCCAAACAATTAACATAATAGAATGTTGCTAGTTTTCATTTTTAATGCAGTTACTTAGTGGTTCTCTTCTTTCTAACCAAATTTCAAAGGCTTAACTCCAAAGAACAGGTTATACATATTCATAAGAGAATCTATATAACTTTGAAAGATTTAAAATGTTAACACTTAAATTATGTTTTAACATTTTTATGTTTTAACTTTAATTTAGATAGCAGATTAAAACAGAAATCACACATTTTCTTTTCATTAGGTATGTAGTTCAACTTACCTTATCAAGTTCATCTGAAATTGCAATACCTGGGATTCAAAAGAGATTTGTAGAAAAAAATATTTTAGAAGCAATCTTCAACAACCCAATATTACAAGCAAAAACAAAACTTCATCTGTAAAACTAGTGTATCTCCCAACTTAAATTTTCTTTTAATTTGTTCTTCAAAATGATGCAGCACATACTGTCTACTAATGAAAACAAAATAGGGATTGAAGTCAACTATGACAGCCATGAAATGCTGAAACAGGGTAAGCAAGTTATGCAAGGACAACAAACAAGTTACCCCATCTCTTACAGGTTGGTAGAGGCAGAGCAAACTGGCAGAACAACTGTGAAACCACCTTTAAGTTATGGTGACAACAGAGTATACCACTTATTCTGTTACAATTTTGTTTCTGAAGAATTGATTACTCTGTAGCATTGTTCTACCAGTATGTTTTGGTGCCAATACCATTGTTGTTTTTGTTACTACTGCTCTGTAGTATGGTTTAAGGTCTGGTATAGTGATGCCACCTGCTTTACTCTTCCTGATAAGGATTACTTTAGCTATTCTGGGTCTCTTATTTTTCCAGATGAATTTCATGATTGCTTTTCTGTTTCTAGGAGGAATATTATTGGAATTTTGATTGGAATTGCATTAAATCTGTATAGAGATTTTGAAAGTATGGTTATTTTGATACTATTAATTCTGCCTATCCAAGAGCAAGGTAGATCTTTCCCAGAGACTAACCCACAAAATTATAATTATCTTATGTTAGACAAAGGTGCCAAAAACATGCATTGGAGAAAAGATGGCCTCTTCAACAAATGGTGCTGGGAAAACTGGAAATCCATATGCAACAAAATGAAATTAAACCCCTATCACTGGCCATGCACAAGACTCAACTCAAAATGAATCAAGGACCCAGGAATAAAACCAGAGACTCTGCATCTAATAGAAGAAAAAGTAGGCCCTAATCTTTATCATGAGGGATTAGGTCCCAAATTCCTTAATAAGACTTCTGTGACACAAGAATTAAAATCAAGAATCAATAAATGGGATGGACTCAAACTAAAAAATTTCTTCTCAGCTAAAGAAACAATCTGTGAGGTGAATAGAGAGCCTACATCTTGGGAACAAATCTTTACCCCTCACACATCAGATAGAGCACTAATCTCTAGGGTATATAAAGAACTCAAAAAATTAACATCAAAAAACAAATAACCCAATCTATTAATAAGCCAAGACCTCAACAGACACTTCTCAGAAGACGATACACACTCAATCAACAAATATATGAAAAAATGTTCATTATCACTAGCACTTAGAGATAGTCAAATCAAAACTATTCTAAGATTCCATCTCACTCCCGTCAGAATGGCAACTATTATGAACACAAACAATAATTGTTGGCAAGAATGTAAGGGAAAAGGTACACTCATACGTTGCTGGTGAGAATGAAAATTGGTGCAGTCAATATGGAAAGCAGTATGGAGATTCCTTGGAAAATTGGGAATGGAACCACCATTTGACCCAGCTATCCTTCTCCTCAGTCTATACCCAAAGGACTTAAAAACAACATACTACAGAGACACACCCACATCAATGTTTATAGAAGCATAATTCACAATAGCTTAATTGTGGAACAAACCTAGATGCCCTTTAATAGATGAATGGATAAAAAAATTGGCATATATTCACAATGGAATATTACTCAGCAATAAAAGAGAATTTTTATTGATTTTATTCATGGCATTTGCAGGTAAATGGATGGAGTTAGAGAAAAAAATGCTAAGTGAAGTTAGCCAATCCTAAATAACCAAATGCTGAATGTTTTCTTTGATATAAGGAGGCTGATTCATAGTGGAATAGGGAGCAGAAGCATGGGAGGAATAGATGAACTCTAGATGGGGCAGAGGGCTTGGAGGGGATGGGAGGGGACATGAGGTTATAAATGATGGTGGAATGTGATGATCATTATTATCTAAAGTACATGTATGAAGACACGAATTGGTGTGAATATACTTTGTATACAACCAGAGATATGAAAAATTGTGCTCTATATGTGTAATAAGAATTTTAGACCTATCAACACATCCTCAAATTGCCAAGACTTTGCTACACTCACACACAGGTCACTCAGTTGCTATCTACTCACTTCACAATGCCATCGCTGAGCTCCCCCAACCTCACCAGACACCCAGGTGCTGAAAGCAGACTACCGCCATCTTGGCTCAACATTGTTGCCATATTAGGCGGGGGCAGTTCCCAGATCAGATCTCCAGGGGCCAGTGAATGTTCACAGAAATCACCAGTGCTGCGACCACTTGCCCAGAAATCAGAGCCTCTGGGCTCTAGTAAGTCTCAGGACCCCAGACCCAAAACCCACAGTTCTAGCCCAAGTGCAGCTCACAAGTGGCTTAGCAGAAACACCTATTAGCACTTCTGCAGAATTCCAGACTGCACTCTGCTCCCACGCAGGTCACTTGGCTGCTACCTGACCACAGCACAAGGCCATCACCCAGCTACCACCACATCACCAGACAACCCAGCGCTGGAAGCAGACCAATTGCATCTTGGAAAACTTTCCTCGCCATTTTGTGGTGGGCGTGACTATCAGATCAGATCGCCATTTGAGCAGGTACCTGATTTCCAATTCCTACCCCTTCCCCAACAGCATTAACTTGGCACAGTGGCCACCCAACACAAGAACAGCTCTCAGTTGGACAGGACTGCAGTGCGAACAGGGTGCCGCCCACCTGGTGTGAGCCTTGGAGTGAGAGGTCATGCAGTTGAAACCTGATAAATAAGAAAGAGGAGAGGACTAAAGTTTGGAGCATAACAGAGAGATCAGGATTTGGGAAATCTCCAGGCAAGAGAGGGAGATGACACTGGGCGCTCAAGTCAGATGAGTGGTCACAAAAAAAGACCCATGAGGTGCTATTTCCTGCTGGAACTGGTGAGCAGAACTCCCTGCTTCCAGATGCTCCACAACAAGTCCAGTTTTCTCACCCTGGTTACCTACACCATCCTGAGGGCAGAGACACCTACTGGATGAGACAATCCCACCTACTAGATGAGAAGAGAAAGAAACGGATCTCTAATAAGAATATCTCTTTTTTTCTCTTATTCTTTCTCTTCTACACTTCTATTCTCTGGCCCCTCACATCCCCAACCTATGTAAAACCAAGAACTTTGCATGAAATAGGACTTTGAGGACTAAGTCACCTGAATAATATAATATAGAGGAATTGCATAAGCCCCATTTTTCTTTTTCTTCTATTTTTTCTTTCTTTATTTTCCTTTTTTCCCCTCTTCTTTCTTCACCTCCAAATTATACTATTTAAACATCCTATATTTTTCTAAAAACATGTGTGTTTGTTTATGTACTCTACTGTCTTCCTATGTAACTGTCTACCCCAAATTACCTCCTATTTATTTTCCTGCTACCAACCCTCTTCACTAGATTTCTTCTTCACATTTCCTAAGATATATTAACTCTGTACCCTCACATTTTCTCCCCTCTATATTTTGTCCCATGTTTGACTCCCAAATCATTGTCCACCACCAGAAACTGTAAAATTTTTTTTGAAACTACTGATTATATTTTAATAATAATTGAATCCAACATTTCTGGACATTGAGACTAAACTGTAAATGTCTTAATAACAACAATTTGTTCATAGGTGATGTATTGTTGATTTTGGGATCTGTTAACATTGTCCTTCCCCACAGAGGAGAGATCTTGGAACCATACAAGAGCACTAAAAATCTATAGGGTAAAAACAATAACACACCAGATCCACAGAGCTGGAAAGGAAGAAACTCGAGCAACATGAAAAGACAAGGGTAGAAAATACCACAAACAAATCAAGACAACACATCATTAGAAGCATTGGCAGCTATGGCAGAAAAAAGACAGAGAAAAATTTCAAGATATGCATGGTTAAAATGTTTTGGGATCTCAAAGAAGACATAAGAGAACAAACACAGGCAGTGAAAGATCACTTCAACAATGAGCTACATAAACAAATCCAAGAAGCAAAAGATCACCTCAACAGAGAGATATAGGTTCTACATAATAAAACAAACAAAAATCCTGTAAATGAAAGAAATAATAAACCAAATTATAAACTCAAATGAAAGCATCACCAACAGAGTAGACCAGTTAGAAGACAGGACATCAGACAATGAAGATAAAATCATCTTGAAAAGAACATAGACTACACAGTGAAAATGATAAGAAACCATAAGCAGAACATTCAAGAAATATGGGATAGCCTAAAAAGACCAACTTTAAGAGTTATTGGGATAGAGGAAGGCATAGAGGTCCAAACCAGAGGAATGAACAATCTATTCAACAAAATAATATCAAAAAACTTTCCAAACATGAAGAATGAATTAGAAATCCAAATTCAAGAAGACTACAGTATGCTGAATGTACAAAATCACAATAGACCCACACCAAGGCATATTGTATTGAAAATACAGAATAAGGAGAGAATTTTAAAAGCCACAAGAGAAAGGAATCAGATTACATATAAGGGAAAACCAATTAGGATAACGGCGGACTTTTCAACACAGACCCTGAAAGCTAGAAGATCCTTGAGCAACATATATCAAGCTCTGAAAGATAATAAGTGCCAACCAAGAATCTTGCAACCAGCAAAATTAAGCTTTAGATTTGAAGATGAAATAAAAACCTACCACGATAAACAAAAGTTAAAAGAATTTATAGCTAGAAAACTGGCACTCATGAAGAGGAAATGAAAAAGAACAATGAAAATCAGCAGAGGAAGGTAGTACACTAAAGAAAAAACTAATCAAAGAAGAAAACGAATTCAAGTAAAATAACAAAAATAAACAAATATGGCTGGAAATACAAACCATGTCTCAATAGTAAACTTAAATGTTAATGGTTTAAACTCACCAATCAAAAGGCATAGATACATGACTGACGGTGAAAGGTTGGGAAAAATCATACCACTCACATGGACTGTGGAAGCAAGCAGGGGCTTCCACTACTCATATCAAATAAAGTAGACT